CCAACTTGTGCTTTCATATTTTATTTTATTCTCATGATTGGTTCTACGGCTTTGTGTCTATTTGCTTTTGGTGTGGGCAGGCTATGAGTCGAACGTGTATCTGCTCGGGCCTCCAAAAAAAAAAAAAAAGCCAGAGGTCCCAGCATTTCCCACCACCACCACCACCGGCTTCCCCGTAGTCCCCACCTGTATATTGCTTTCTCTCTTTTATTTTTATTTTTATTTTCCTTTTTAGTTCTTTTTTTTTCTTCAAAAAAAAAAAGAAAGTGTGAAGTGTATATATGTTACTCTCTGCCTTCCTGGATGTGCACCCACAATTCTGGTAATATTCTCTCATTTCTCTTTACTTTTCCATTGAGGACAATGCCATATTCAAGTTGGGGGATGAGGGTTATATTTTCTTTTGTGCATTCCTATTTGGCTCATAATTCATGCTTGTACCTGTTTCACTTAATTGCATTACTTCACCTGATGTGACTTTTTGCTAGTAGAGTGATGATATTTGCATATGTTAATTAGAGAGCATAGTAGACTTGTATGAAAAGAGTTTATTGGGTAGATACTTGCATACCATGTTTGCACGATGAGAGTTGTCTATGTTTGTGGTATTAGTACACTTGTCATGAGTATGCCTTAATTCACATGAACACACTATCATAGCAGTGATCTTTTTATTATAATCCCTGGTGTACATCATTGATAATAGCTAGAGTTGCAGAAAAGAATAAATGAGGAGCCAAGATTCTTAAAAAAAAAAAAAAAAGAAAGAAAGAAAAACCATTTGACTAGTTTGGGTTCGTAGCCTTTTTAACTCGAGTTATTAAGCCCGTAGGGGTGTCTCTACACCTAATGCCTTAAAACCGTCTAGTTTGGGAGTCATTGGCCCAATGCTTGTTACATGGGTTGATTAGAAAGCTTGATGGATCAGGACATTACACAGTCATTTAAAAAAAATAAAATAAAATAAAATAAAAAACAACTTTTGAAAATCTTGGCTGCAACAGGTTAGTTTTTCTGTATATGATGGGTGTTATTATGAGTTACACTGGGCTATTATAGTGGATAGTTAACTAATATAGAGATTGCACTTTACACCGAGGGTACTCATGACTTGTCTACTAGCATGCACAAGTACAGGAAACTTTACTTTTGTACTAACTGAATTGTGATTTTGAAAAAAAAAAAAAAAAAATTTTGAGAATCTTGGCTGCAACAGGTTAGTTTTTCTGTATACGTTGGGTGTTATTATGAGTTACACTGGGCTATTATAGTGGACAGTTAACTAATATGGAGATTGCACTTTACACCAAGGGTATTCATGACTTGTCTACTAGTATGCACAAGTACAGAGAACTTTACTTTTGTATTAACTGAATTGTGGTTTTGACTCAATAGGTTCCTTCATGCTTGTCCACTGTGCCTTTAATGACTCATGATGTCGCAATATCACACTGTAGTGGCACATAAGTTGATTGTTAGGTGAAGTAGTGTGGTCATTTGTTATTGAGTATATATGAATATGTTAATGTTTGTGGGTATCATTTCTGGAAACCCTCACGAGACTTTACTCGTCCACCTGGGGTAACCTTGTGGTTTAAAGGCTTGTTGCATATGCTAAATGCAACCATTTTCCCACGAAAGAAGAAATAGATAGATTTTGTTTAATTTTATTTTATTTTACTTGCTTGAGGACTAGCAAGTAGTAAGTTGGGGGATGTGATTAAGGCCGAAATGTACGTCATTGATGCCGTTAATTAGAATCTCTTAACTTCACATGCTAGTCAAACTGTATATTTTATGTGTGTTGAGTGTCAATCAGGTTGTACATCGTCGGAGCATAAAATGAGCAAAAAGACAGAATTTGGGCAGAGTTGACTTTCCCGCACGTGCGTTGACTTTCCCGCACGTGCGTTGACTTTCCCGCACGTGCGTTGACTTTCCCGCACGTGCGTTGACTTTCCCGCACGTGCGTTGACTTTCCCGCACGTGCGTTGACTTTCCCGCACGTGCGTTGACTTTCCCGCACGTGCGTTGACTTTCCCGCACGTGCGTTGACTTTCCCGCACGTGCGTTGACTTTCCCGCACGTGCGTTGACTTTCCCGCACGTGCGTTGACTTTCCCGCACGTGCGTTGACTTTCCCGCACGTGCGTTGACTTTCCCGCACGTGCGTTGACTTTCCCGCACGTGCGTTGACTTTCCCGCACGTGCGTTGACTTTCCCGCACGTGCGTTGACTTTCCCGCACGTGCGTTGACTTTCCCGCACGTGCGTTGACTTTCCCGCACGTGCGTTGACTTTCCCGCACGTGCGTTGACTTTCCCGCACGTGCGTTGACTTTCCCGCACGTGCGTTGACTTTCCCGCACGTGCGTTGACTTTCCCGCACGTGCGTTGACTTTCCCGCACGTGCGTTGACTTTCCCGCACGTGCGTTGACTTTCCCGCACGTGCGTTGACTTTCCCGCACGTGCGTTGACTTTCCCGCACGTGCGTTGACTTTCCCGCACGTGCGTTGACTTTCCCGCACGTGCGTTGACTTTCCCGCACGTGCGTTGACTTTCCCGCACGTGCGTTGACTTTCCCGCACGTGCGTTGACTTTCCCGCACGTGCGTTGACTTTCCCGCACGTGCGTTGACTTTCCCGCACGTGCGTTGACTTTCCCGCACGTGCGTTGACTTTCCCGCACGTGCGTTGACTTTCCCGCACGTGCGTTGACTTTCCCGCACGTGCGTTGACTTTCCCGCACGTGCGTTGACTTTCCCGCACGTGCGTTGACTTTCCCGCACGTGCGTTGACTTTCCCGCACGTGCGTTGACTTTCCCGCACGTGCGTTGACTTTCCCGCACGTGCGTTGACTTTCCCGCACGTGCGTATGGAAAAAGAGTTGAAAACAGAGGTTGAGACTCTGGGAAGCATAAGGCACAAGAACATCGTGAAGTTGTATTGCTACTTCTCAAGCTTGGAATGTAGTTTGTTGGTTTACGAGTACATGCCCAATGGAAATCTTTGGGATGCGCTTCACAAATCAAAAATCATTTTGGATTGGCCAACCCGTCATCAGATTGCACTGGGGATTGCTCAGGGTTTGGCCTACCTCCACCATGATCTAAAACCATCCATCATTCACAGAGACATCAAGTCGACCAACATTCTGCTAGATATCAATTACCAGCCCAAGGTAGCAGACTTTGGTATAGCAAAAGTTTTGCAAGCAGGAGGGAAAGATTCCACCACCACTCTCATTGCAGGCACTTATGGCTACTTGGCTCCAGGTAATTTTCGGATCCAACTCAGTTTTAATTCGATTATGTATTTACAGAGACATATATAAAGATCAATGAAATTTGTTAATTGGCTGGAAAGTTAGTTAGTTTGTTTGTTTGGTTTTTTTTTTTTTTCCCCAGTTGTTGTTCCTATGCTTATCATGTGTGATGTTTTTAAATTGTTCATTGATGTACACCAGTGTTACACGAAAATGCTAATACCCTAACGATTTACATTTTGGAATGTATGTTCAACTTCCGGAGAATATTTCAATGCTGACAAAGCTCAATTCTATGGTCTTGACAACGTGCAAGATACGCGGTTTTATCCCAAGATCAATAGGAAACATGACATCACTCGTTGATCTTGAATTGAGCGGAAACTTCCTTGTGGGTCAGATTCCAGCAGAGCTTGGGTTGCTAAAGAATTTGCAACTGCTCGAGCTTTTCTATAATCAACTTGATGGTGAAATACCAGAGGAGCTTGGAAATCTCATGGAACTCAGAGACTTGGACATGTCTGTGAACAAGTTATCTGGGAAAATCCCAGAATCTATTTGTAGGCTTCCAAAGCTCCAAGTCTTGCAGCTTTACAACAACACACTCACTGGAGATATCCCCGGTGCGATTGCAAACTCGACAACCTTGACCATGTTATCGCTTTATGACAATCTCTTGACAGGACAAGTTCCTCGAGGTCTAGGACGATCATCGCCCTTGATTGTTTTGGGTAGGCCTTGCTTTTTAGGGATTTTTGACTTTTTCTTTTCATTTGACTTTGGAGCTATTATTCTATTAATACCTAGTCACTATAAATAGACCCAAAGACACTTCTCTCTCATTAGTTGCTTCCCTTTTTCCTCTCTCACCCGTAACTCTCTCTCTTTCTCTCAAAACTCACTTTTTCTCACTTAGATCTTTAGATCTACTCACTTAAAGGTACCTTCTTATCTTGGTCCTTTGAGATACATTGTAAATTGCCTCAAGGGCTTTCTTTTGATCTATGTGGCTCGTGGTTTTGTTGACATTGGATTTTTCCGAGTTCTTCTCTTCCACCTTCTAAGCTTAAGGTAGGGATTCTTCGTACCTCTTTATAAGTTTCAACTTAATTATTTGTTTTTATAAAACCACCTTGTGAAATAAATGGATTTTTGAACAATCTTAGTCTTTGGTTCGAAATCAAAAGGAGGGATTTTCACATCAACCTTGAGAGTGAAAGTGGGAGATCCATGGGAGAGCCTTGCCATTATTCTATTCTCTAGCCATTTTGCCTTCTTCTTCACCCAATCTCTTATCTCCATCATCTCCTTTGTTGTCGTGTTCCTAAGTTGAGATTATTGAAGAATCTAAGCTTCTCATCATATTCTAGAGAATTCGAAGTTGTTCTTTAAGGATCTTCGAAGATCTTCGAATTTTCTAACTCTTTTCTTGAACCCTCTCCTACAATATGCATACCTACTTTCATAATCATTTACCTCAGATAATCTGTATGATTCTTCTTTGTTAATACAAGTTTGTGTTAAAATTTGCAAATGATAACTACACAGAATGAATTTTAATTGTATATTATTTTTAAGTAAAATTATGAAAATATAATATTGTAGGTGATGCGAGGACTCCTATGCTTATTACTTAGCAGAAAAGATTACCCAAAAAAAAAAAAAAAATTAACAAACACAACAAGGGCATAGCAATTTTCTTTTCTTAAAAAAATAAATAAATAAACCAACAGGAAAATTTGTGACATTTATTCAGAATTTGTGTGAGTTCCTCTTCAATTCTTATAAAGTAAACCAGAGATGTTTGTTACATGGATAAAAAGTTGTGACTATTCAACAGCTACATATACATTTCTTTAAAATTGTATACACACCTAAATAAAATAAAATGAAATTAATTATAAGCAGTGTGAGATGCTGTGGCTTCTATGTGTTTTACATTGTATTTTCCCTTTATACAAAACTTGCCAATTGAGGGGCATGGTGTCCACCAATTTCTCATCATCGGTCTGGTTTACGATGGAATTTCGGTCATCGATGTTGGCTGATGTTTTTGGCAAATGCTTTTTGCGATATTCTTTATTGTCAGATGACGGCTCTACCACGTCGTCGGCAAACCGGACCTTTTTCTTGGGTTCATCTTTGTGTGATCCTTCTACATCGTCATAAGAGAAAGAAAAATTTGAAAAAAATGGTATGAAGTGAGTTACCATTGAAAAATATCATAAATTCATAATACCCAATTCAAATTCATTAAGCATATATAGTCATGGACATTGATTTTTTTTCTTTTTTTGTTTTTGTTTTTGTTTTTGTTTTTCGGTGAAGATCGTAAGGGGATAATGAGAAAATGTAAAGGAAAGAAATGATATGAAATGAGTTTCCAATTTGGGTTTTGTTTTCTGCTGCTTCTTTTTTTCTTCTTTTTTTTTTTTTTTTAAATATACTTTTAGAGAATAACAAAAAAGTTGTTTTCAAATTTTCATCCCGTTGAATTTTCAAAACATTCGTCTAAAAAATATTTTAAAATTTAACAAATAAAACACTAAAAAAAAAATTTCAAAAATCATTACTGCCCAAAAGAAAAAACAATCATATGAAAATAATGTGTGTGCGTTTTTTTTTCTTTTTTTTCTTTTTCATTTTTCTTTTTTGACCACTCAGTTTTTGAAAAATGTTCATAAAACATATCTCAAAACTCAACCAAACATCATTTTCAGAATTTTTTTTTTTTTCAAAATCTAGTTTCGTCAAAAATATGAAAAAAAAAAAAAACACTCATTACTTTCCATATAATCTCTTTTTAGGGGAGCAAGCAATTTTGAAATTCAAATTATTTTTTGTTTTTCTGTTTATTTTTATCAAACTAATTTCTAATTCTGAAAACTTCTCTTTTTTTTCTTTTTTTTTTTTAATGAAAACACAAAAGCACAAAATACGAAATACAACCAAACAAGAGAAATTTACCCAATTCAAATTCAATCTTCTTCATGAAGTCGGAGACAAGGCGCTTATGAACTTGATGGGCAAGAATCACCACACTTCCTGAGACTGCAAAAACTGCCATGAACCCAGCCCCCATGGAAGAACTATCCATCTCTTCCCTCTCCTCTCTCTCTCTCCCTCTCCCTTCTCTCTCTATATTTTTGTGTATACAAAATGGAACATGTTTTGGAAAAGTTGCATTTTCAATGAGAGAGAAAAAGAGAGTAAATGTGAAAGGAAGAAGAATGAATGAAATGTGTGTTAGAAGTTGAATAAACAGTTGGGTTTTGGTGGGAAGGATTGAAATATTTGTTAGTATTTATAATCAATAATCAAAAACCCTACATGGCATTGACTCTTAACGACCTCAAAACTAATATAGTTTTTTTCTATTTTTTTCTATTTATCTTTTGACCCAAAACAACGGCTCATGCCTACCCAGCCTCTTTCTTGAGGGTGTGAAATGACATATTTGTCCTCGGAAGCATAGGTTGAGAATCGGTGAGTCCACCAACGAGTTAGGCAAATTCACTTCTCGTCAGCCCCATTATTTAGATTGGCAGGTGCTGTTAACTAGTTGTAAGTCCGTCACGGATTCACCTCAATGATACAACCTATTACTCGATAGAGTTTGTTGAAAAGATCAAGGCATATCAAAAATTAAATTGATCAAACTGATCGAACTACAAAATAATACAAAAAAATAAAAGGCAAATATAATTTTAAGTATAGAAAGTACATTTTTTTAAACATAATTTTGTGATCCGATTAGATTGTTACCAATATTCAATTAACTTAACTTTTTAAATTGATAATTTTCTTAATGAGCCTTACAAGTGAACGATTTAAACAATCAAAATGTGCCATGATAGGCTCACAAGGGCAACGTCAACCTCCAATCCAAGAAGCTAAATACTTTTCCAAACATAAACCCTATAGGCAAATGGCTATTTTAAAAAAATTATTAAAAAAGTCAAAAAAGTTTTTAAAAAAAAATTTAAAAATTCTTTCTCATCATTTTTTTTTTCATAAAAAGTCAAAAAAAATATTAAAAATCACTTTCCAAATGGACATGTAGAGACAAAAAAATTTCCACCAAAAAAAAAATTAGGTTGCCAAACAAGGAAAAAATAAAAAGATAAAAACAACTCAACAATGGTAATTCGGTCAAATGAGAAAATGTAATAGTTTGGTAAGACATTCCGTCCAACAATAACCGGTGGTCATCCATCTAGAAGCCGGTTTTAATTCACCAACCTCTCTTTAGCCCCTTCTATTTTTCTCTTTCAAAAATATTTCTAAAACTAACCTTTTTTTTTCCCTCTCTATAAACCAGAGAAATTTCAGTGCTATGGAATGGAGGCAAGTTGAAAAAAAAAAATGTATTGGCAAAGTAGCACTAAATTATTATGAGGAAATTACGTTTCAATGGAGATTTGAAAAAATATTTTTATTAGTGATAAATATTATAAATATTAAAAATAAAATTATAAATTGTTTTATAATTTTTGTGATTAAATTTTAAAAATCTCTTTGACAGGAAATTCTTCCAATTATTCTCCCTGATTCAATGTGTATAATGTAAAAATCGTAATCAACTAATTGATTAAAATTTTAAGTGTGGTCACATGCAAGACTCTCCGTCAACAAATTATGGCTTTCGATGTATTAAAAAAAGAGTGGTGATTCAAATTATTATGGGGAAATTACGTTTCAATGGAGGTTTGAAAAAATATTTTTATTAGTGATAAATATTATAAATATTAAAAATAAAATTATAAATTATTTTATAATTTTTGTAATTAAATTTTAAAAATCTCTTTGACAGGAAATTCTTCCAATTATTCTCCCTGATTCAATGTGTATAATGTAAAAATTGTAATCAACTAATCGATTAAATACTAGGTCATTCCCCTTATGTGACACGTTGCTCCTGCCTCTGGGTGTTTTGAAAAGTGAGCAAGAGGCGCCGCATCGATGCCTAGGTAGAGTGAAAAATAGGCAAAGATTTCTGCGTTTTTTGGACGAGCACGAATAAAGAAGCTAGTCCAAGATTATAGGTTTAGGGTAGCCACATGAAATATAAGAACTTTAGCTAGTAAGACTATAGAATTGGCGGATGTCATGATTATGAGAAGAGTTAGTATAGCTTACATATAAAAAACTAAGTGGACGGGTAAGAAAGCTCGGGAAATAGAGGATACCAGTTTTAAGCTATATTATAGTGGCAATGATAGACACAAGAATGAGATAGGAATAATAGTTGCCAAGAATCTTGTAGAAAATGTAGTCGCGGCCATTAGGAAAGGTGATAGGATTATGTAAGTTAAACTAGTTATTGAAGAGAATATAGTGAACATTATTAGTGCATACGCCCCCCAAAGTAGGATTAGATGATCAGACTAAGAAAGTTTTTTAGGACGAAATGCATGAGGTATTACAAGAGATACTCGTAGGAGAGAACCTAGTTATAGGTGGTGATTTCAATGGACATGTAGGAGTAGATAAACTAAGGTATAAGAGGGTGCGTGGTGGGTATGGTTTTGGTGATAGAAATAAGGCTAGAGAGAGTATTTTAGATTTTGTGTTGGCTTCTGACCTAGTGGTGGCCAATCTTATGTATAAGAAAAGAGGGGAGCATTTTACAACCTTCAAGAGTGGGTCAATTAGGAGCCAAATAGATTACTTTCCATTAAGAAAAAGGGACCATCTAAAATGTAGCGATTGTAAGGTGATTCCTAGAGAGATCTTGACATCTCAACATAGGATTTTGATACTAGATTTATGTTGTAAAGAGCAATACCAAATTTGAAAAGATAGTAGGTGTCGTAAAACTAGATGGTGGGACTTACAATGGGATAAACTAAACACATATAATAATAGAATGGATAAAGAAGGTACTTGGGATTTAGAAGATGATGTTAACACTATGTAGAACTCGATGGCCAATTGTATGAAGAGAATCTCAAGAGAAGTTCTTGGAGAGTTGAAAAGAAAGGGACCCAACTTTAGAGAAACTTGGTGGTGGAGGGATGAGGTATAAATGGTAATAAAAACGAAAAAAGAGAGCTTTAAAAAGTAGCAGAATGATAGAATTGAGGAAAACCTTAAGCGCTACAAATTGTCCAATAAAGAGGTCAAAAAAGTAGTGAGGGAGACTAAGTTAAAAGCCTATGATGACCTATACACTGGACTAGATAGTAAGGAGGGAAAGAAGATAATATACAAACTTGCTAAGATAAGAGAAAAGAAAATAAGATATTTTAATCAGGTTACGTGCATCAAGGGTGGAGACTCTAAGGTGTTGGTGAAGGATGAAAAGATTAAGGAGAGATAAAAGAACTATTTTGAGAAGTTTTTAAATGAGAAACATAGAGGTAGGTCATACAGGGAGAAAGTAGATAGTAATAATGAAAACCAGGACTATACGTTCTATCATAGGATTAGGGACTTTGAAGTAGAGTTTGCACTTAAGAAGATGAAATTGAGTAAGGCTTTAAGACCCGATGATATACGTATTGAAGCGTAGGAATGTTTAAGTAAGAAGGGGTTGCTTGGTTGATTAGGTTATTTAGCAAGATTTTGTTGACTAGGAAAATGCTAGAGGAGTGGAGAAAGAGTATTTTAGTGCCAATATATAAGAATAAAGAAGATGTTCAAAATTATAACAACTATAGAGGAATCAAGTTAATGTGTCACACAATGAAAGTATGGGAAGAGAGAGTGATGAAACGTCAATTGCGAGATATAACAGAGGTGTCAAAGAATCAGTTTGAGTTTATACCTAGTAGGTCAACAATGGAAGCGATCTATCTTTTGAAGAAAGTAATAGAAAAGTATAAAGAAAAGAAAAGAGACATTCATATAGTTTTTATCGATCTTAAGAAAGTACATGATAAAGTACCTTGGGATATAATCTAGTGGCTGTTAGAGAAAAAATGGGTGACAAAAGGTTATATTGATGTGATTAGGGATATGTATGAAAGTGTAGTGACCATTATTAGATCGCCTACTGTAAAGACGAGTTAATTTTTAATGTCTATAGGGTTACACCAAAAATCAACCTTAAGTTTTTATCTTTTTATTTTAGTTATAGATGAGTTGACGTGCGATATTCAGGATGATGTGACATTGTGTATTGTCACGACCCAAACCTGCCCCTATAGGTTTAGCGTCGTAACCGGCCAGTAACCTTTGGATTACCAAAGGCCTTTGAACAAAATAACGTATATTTAGGGGCTGCGGAAGCAATTATACAAAATATACGTAGTCGATTGAGCTGTGCAGACATACATAAAATAGATAATATTTAAACGTATATGATGTCAAACTCCCATACACATAGTATCATAAGAGACTTCGTCCAATGTACAAGTAGACAAACCAAACAAAAACAAAAGAACATCTACAACAGGATCACAAAACTTGACTTCTCAAAAAGGAATCTTCTCGAGAGACACGGTGACTGACTAATGCAAAAATTCGCCAGGCAGCAGCTTAGGCCTAGTTACGCGTCTGCTCATGTACATACATAATATAAACAGTAAGCGAAAGCCCAGTGAATAATAACAGAGTAAAGGGTTTTAATGAATGATGTCCATCACAGAGTCAGAAATCAGAGTTCATATCAGAAACGGATTCATATTCATATTCTTGTTCAAAAATCAATATTTATAACATAAATGGAATGAAAATCATATTCATAATCAGAATTTACAGTTAATCATACGTGGTACATCTATTAGCACTAACAAAAATAGTTGACCCATAAAAAGACAGCCATAAAGGCATACAGTTGACTCGCGTGTACGGAGATGGTACAATCGGCTCATGAGACGTACAGTTGGCCCATAATTAGGACATAACAAAATAGATAACAGATGCCATCTGAAGCTAATGATGCCACAAGTACATTTCATAAACATTGGACAACCATTCATTCATACAGAAAATAATATTTCAGAAAACAGTTGGAAACACTTAAAAAAATTTGCTGAAAATAAGGGTTCCGCTCAAGCGTAACTTCATTCACTTATGCTCGAGCGGACATGCAAAATATGAGTAGTCGCTTGAGCGCAACTTCTGTCGCTCGAGCGGTCTACAAAAGTACTGGTTGTATGAATTCTCCGCTCGACGGTCGCTCGAGTGTGAGACTGAGGTCCTCACTTGAGCGCAACTTTTGTCATTTAAGCGATCTACAAAAACATAAAACTTCTGGGAGCTTGCATTTCACGCTTAAGCGGACTTCTGGTCGCTCAAGCGGAAGTGCAAGATCACAGAGTGGTCACTCGAGCGCAAGTTC